AAAAAGAGAAGAGATTAAACTTATATATGTTTTGTTTATATTGTTGATGTTAGAAAAATGTACAGGTGGCGCCTCTCATACAAGTGGAGGCTCCAAAGAGAACGGTAGTTTATATCGAGATGAAAGTTTGGTAGCATATGTAGGTTTAATGTGAAAGCAATTTTGAGGAGGAAGAGGATATAAAATTATACAGGGTGTCCAAAAATAGTTCCACCACATCAAAGTTGTGTTATATATTGATTTTCGATTCTAGGAAAAAAAAAGGTGGAGTTTTATTAAAGAAGCATATACAAAAAAATCTGAGGATTTTGACATATTTCATATTCTGTGAAAATGATGAAGATGAAAATTTAAATTTCTATAACAAGACTACTTAAATTTAGTTGACCTTGTACAGGCCTGGTATTAATTACAGTTACCATTGTATGTTAAACATAATTAAAAATTTGACCGGAAGAGTTATACAGGGTGAAAAAAATCAAATGAACATAGTCACTGTTTAAAAAGCAAGTTAGCTCCTTTATGTTAATAGTTACAGCACAGTGATGATTGTGTTCTCGCCGTTTTTCAGCTTGGGGAATTAATACTTCAAAATATTATTAATGTTGCCCGTACCCCTCACACAAAAATTTTCCAAGATATTTTAATTTTATGATTTTGCGTCAGTAGAGGATCTTTAATTTATTTGAAAAAAATCTAGGTGGCTTGTGAAATATACCTTTTTAATTAACAAAAAATTAAAGAATGTAGAGTAAATACTAACGGTAAATATAAAAGATTATGCACGTTTAAAACATATTTTAATTAATACGAAATTAAAACTAGATATAACCTACCAATTGTAACAAAAAATTAGGCTAGATGAAATCAAATGCTCAAATAATGCTTACTTTCCTGTTAACTGAATAAAACGATTGTCTTTTCAAAAGTATCTTTTCATTTTAAAAGGCATATGAGGAGTTCTACCTCGAAAAGCAGCTACAATAATTTCTCTCATGTTGTCGACAATAGTTGGTCGAGTTTTGTAAACACTGTCTTTAACATATCTCAATAAAAAAACCAGACTGGATAAAATCAAGAGCATTTAAGTGTACTATTAATAGAATCATATTAATTTTCTCTGATGTAGGGTAAGTTTGCATTTTCGGCGAATTTCTGAGAATTTTTTTGTTTTGACTGAAACAAAATGATAACTATCTGTTAAAGTTGGACTAATTAGACAGCTATGTTGAAGTAACGTCAGACATATCACAGCCACCTAGATTTTATCAAAAATAATAAAAGATATATTTTTTTTTTTTTTTTTTTTTTTTAAGTATTTTTCTAGGAAAATATTTGTTGAGGGGTAGGCAACCATTAATAGGTATTTTGAAGAGACATGAATTCTCCATTAAAAATATGGAATAATATACTGGGTGTTTTATCTAAAAATAAAATTTTTTTTTTTTTTGCTTTTAAAGGTGACAAATGTTTCAATATTAATTTTTGTCTCACCCTGTATAACTTTTTGGATCAAGTTTTTAAGTTTGATTTAAAAATGCATAGTTAATTTAACATATTACAGCTATTATACATTGTTTGGATTTCTATTAATATTTAAATAAAGTTTTTTTTTTATTAAGAAAAATTGAACAAAATTGTTAGTAATCATTAAAACAAATAAATTCAAATTGTATCAGTCAAATTCCCTCATTTAAGGTGAATATTAAAGTAAATATAAATACAAAACTGTAATTTTTGAAAACTTGTCAAAATTTGGACACACGCTAAATGGACTTGATTTTCCTATGTCTCGAAGTCTGTGGACCTTTCTGTATAGGGTGTTCCATTACAAAAAACACAACTTTGATATGTAACTTTTTTGGGTACATCCTGTAGAACTTTCTATATTTTTAAAAAATGCTTTGAATTAACCTACATATGCTCACAAAATTTCACTCAATACAAAATGTCGTCCTCTTTGGAGCCTCCGCGGCGTATGAGTGGCGCCAAACCCTGTACTTAAATCGACATTCGTTATTACTAAAGATCATTAAAATCTAGCTACCTCATTGAAAATTATCTCGTTTTTGCAGATTGAAGGTAGAAAAAGCTGGTGGAGGATGGTGTCCAAAACAGCAGATTGAAAAAGGAGTAAGAGAATATATCCAAGTAGATTTGCAGGAAGTGCATGTGATCACTGGAATAGAAACCCAAGGAAGGTACGATAGAGGTAGAGGACAAGAGTACGTTGAGGAGTATCTTCTGGAGTATTGGAGACCTGGATTGGAGGAATGGAAAGAGTATCGAAGATGGGATGGCAAGCATGTAAGTAATTATCTATTCTGATCTGTAGTACTTCGTACAGGATGTCTCTAATTCTAAATTGACCTTTGGAATCTCAGAAACTTTAACATATGCGATAGATGTCAAATTGTGGAGATTCGCAGTTTTATAGTTAATAAAGAAAATTCAATTGCAAATTCGAAAAAAAATATACAGGGTGTCAAAAAATAGCGTATCGAACTTTGGTGGGTGATGCTACAAAATCTTTCAGGGGTTGGGTAAAGCGGGTGTGTGGCCGAAGTAAATATACAGGGTGTCATTGAAATGGTGTAAAAAAAATCGGGGGGTGATAGTACTCCTAAAAATAGTAAAAAAAAATCCTATAAGTATAATGCGGAAAATGCATATTAAGGGAGTTAGGGGCACAGAAAGAGCGAATTTAAAAAATGGTTGTTTTAAAATTGTAGGCTTAAAGAACGAGATAAAATTTCGAAAAAAAATCCTCTTCATAAATTTTGACCCTAAATCAAATGGTGATACTGAAAAATTATTTGGAAAAGCGGAAAGGGTAGTTTCTGCAAGGGTAGGGGGTTGTTTTCTGAATAACTTTTTTGACGTTATTTTTTTTGCAACGTGGTTAATTTTTTGAAAACTACATACTTTTTCCTACAAAAAAGGTACTCTTGTTGCACATCGCTCAGAGCGATGGTTTTCGAGAAAATTGAAGGCAAAGGGTTTGCTATGACGTGTTGCTAACTGGTTAATCAACATAAACTTATGAAATTTATGGCGGTTCAAAAGTAACTAAGTAGTTATTAAATAATTAATTGGAAAATCAAAATGTTATGATTTTTAAAACATCTAATTTGCTTTAAAAACGAAATAATATTTTTTGGTTTTAAAAAAATTTGGTTTTCTCAGTGCCGATTAATACTGAAGAGTGCCGATTAATACTACGGCAACGCATTATTGACTGTTCAAATTCAGACAGCAACAAGGATATTCCACAGGGTACGCAGATCGTGGAGAAGAAGATCAGATGTCTACATTGAAATGAATGGTGGTCACTTTGAACATTTACTATGAATGAATTAAGGAATGCATTATTTTAATAAGGAATTTTGGTAATTGGATTATTTCGTTTTTTAAAGCAATAAGATGTTTTAAAAATCATGAAAATTTCGAATTTTTTCCATTAATTATTTAATAAACTACTTGGTTACTTTTTGAACCGCCATAACTTTCATAAGTTTATGTTGATTAACCAGTTAGCAACCCATCAGAGCAAATTCTTTGTCTTCAATTTTCTCGAAAAACCATCGCTCTGGGCGAGTGCAAAACAAGAGCATACAATTTTTTGTAGGAAAGAGTATGTAGTTTTCAAAAAAATAAATTTTTTTTTTTTTTAAAAAAAAATAAACCTGCAAGAACAGTTATTCACGAAACAACCTCCTACCCTTGCAAAAAATACCCTTTCGCGCTTTTCCAAAAAAATAATTTTTCAGTAAATGACCATTATGATTTTAGGGTTCAAAATTTTATGGCAGAGGATTTTTTTTTTTCGAATAATTTTATCTCGTTTCTTAAGCCTACAATTTTAAAAACACGGTTTTTTTAAAAAATTTCAAACGCCTTTCAGTGCCTCTAACTCCCTTAATATGCCTTTCCGCCCTATAGTTCCAGGAACTTTTTTTATTATTTTTAGGAGTACTATAACCCCCCCCCACCATTTTTTAACCCATTTAAATGACCCTGTATATTATATTTCAGAAATCTGCCCAAGACTTGGCCCGTTTCTGTCGTGTTAAGCCACACCTAAAATTCCAAACACACGTGTTTGGATTAAGGCTTGATTAAGGTTTGCAGAGCTTCAGCATTTGCGATATAAATAGCGAGCAATTTGTTACAAAACCATATAAATGATATATCACTGTAATCACAAAACCTCAATCTATTTCCGTATTGTAAAGAAATTTTAAATTATGTCTTTATTTTCGACAAAATATAGTCTAAACATAAAGAATACTTTGTTGATGTTTGACCACCAAAATCTTAAAAATAAAGAAATTGTCTAAAAATGTCCTACAATACGGATATAGTATAATCCTTTATCTTTAATTTCCTTCTTCATTTGTGTAAAAATACTTAGCCAGTTTTATATAAAACATTAAATGCCGAACGGTATTTTCCATTAAGGTAGAGAGTACATTATTACTGGTGGTACTTCTTTTATCCTTATAGAGTAATTTCAATAAATAATATAAAAAGCTAGATCTTTTTTAAGTAAAACAGGTGCTCTTCGTTTAGTTCGAAAAGGTGAATGATTTTCAAGATATTTGCGTTTAAAGATTACAATGACAAATTCTTTTCATAATTTGTCTGTACCTGATTTACATTTTCTTTTTCTAAACCACTATAACGTTCTTCCCACGCCAACTTTGCTCTTTTTATAGTTTGCGTTTTCTCGCAGACGAATTTGATTTGTTTTAAGGGGCTGAAAAATTCGGAAAAATAAACTGGAGAGAAATCTCCGGCTCTCGTTATCGCTCGCTGTTGCCGGGCAGCGTTGCCGCTCCGGCGATGGATGTCTGTGCACGTTTTCACTTAGAGATTCGTACGTGAGCGATGAAAGCGCCGCTTACTGACAAATTCGTGACGCTTCCGCAACGGCGTTAGGATTTTAAGGAGAGAGGAAAAAACCTGTCCCGGTTGCTCACTCATAAATCGACGATGTAAAAATATAAATTTATTTGCAGTGCCGGTTTTATGAGATTTGATTTAAGTCGCAACAAAAAGTGGAAAGGAGAGAAATGTTTTACAACTTCAACGTCGACTTTTTTTTCGTAAAAATGTATTTCAATTATTTACTGCATTCTTTAAATAAAAAGATTAAGGACAAATCAATTTACAAATCCTTCAATTTAATAGCTGTCAAATACGCACACACACTGTTTCTTTTTCTTAAAAAGTAAGTACCAATACCAACAATTTTACAAAAAATATGGTATGTTATTAATTATTAAAAAATATCTTAAATAGAATCGATTCGAAACACGTTCAACCTGGTTCATTTTTATTACTCCAAACTTGCCCCGTTTCTGCCAACACGCGATGCCGTTATTTCCGCTATCGATTGGCCAGAAAGATTGGCCAAGATTTATATTAGAAGCGGAATTAAGCCGGACTGATGAAGATATATAGTTTCTGGATAGTTTTCCGTGTTTTTCGGCAACTTTTATCCAGTACGGTCGACGTCAAAACCGTCTAATCCCCAAGAACCCGAGGGAAAAAAGGGCGGGAAACAGCGAACTGTCAAGTTTTAAGGTGGCAATTTTAAAAACTGGCTTTCCTTGGGGATAAGTTTAAAGAAGGAATCGAACTCCGAACTTTAACTTTTAAGTTTTTTACTGTATGGATGTTTTTATACAGGGTTGTTCGTCTAAAACATTCAACAAAAGATGTACGTCTTTTTACAGGGTCTTGAATGTGATCTAATGTGTCTATATATGTATTCCTAATTGATTTGACTTTTTTTTAAGTACTTCTACTACCGCTACGTAAATTCTAGTGGATTTTTTTTGTAACATCAACTACGACTTCTTTCCAACTGGTACGAGAGAGAGACGCTATATCCCCAAAGCTGTTTACAGCAACACTTAAAGAAATCTTCCGTCAACTCGACTGGACCAACAAAGGGTTAAGAATAGGTGGAGAATATCTTAACCATCTAAGATTCGCTGATAACATAGTCCTAATTGCCAATAGTCCTGAAAAACTACAAGCACGAATTAAAGAACTAAATACAGCCAGCAAGAAAGTATATAGATCTCAAAATGAATTTAGCAAAAACTACAGTAATGTTCAACGAACTAGTAGCCAGAAAAGACATTCTAATGAATAACACAACACTGAAAATAGTAGAAGAATATATATATTTGGGACAACTAATACACAGCTCGGGTTATCTACTACCAGAAATCAACAGAAGAATTAAGTTAGCATGGAGTACTTATGGAAGAAACTCAATCATATTAAAATCTAGAATTCCACTTTACCTAAATAAGAAAACACTCGATCAATGTTTGCTACCAGTCATGAACTATGCGTGTAAAACTTGGACACTTAAAGGTTGATCTCGCTATACCTTCAGTTTCCATTCCATATCCATTCCATATCCGTTCCGTATTTTTTATTGTAGTGACTCTATTCGTAAGCTTCCGTTCCGTATCAGTTCCATACTTTCTATTTTACAGGGTGAGTCAACGATAGAGTAAAGTCCATTATCTCATTTATTTTGAGGTTTACAAAAAAATGTTAAATATAAAAGTTATAGTGAAGGTTAGGATACACATATTAAAATTATTATAGAGTATACAGGGTGCTTCAAAAAAGTGTGGTGGATATAACATATGTTTTTTTAAATGCAACACCCTATTTTTTATTTTATTTTTAGATTCTGTCTAAAATTTCATAACTTTTTTATATATAATGTTATATACTTAAAATTAATAGTTTTTGTAATATTTAAATTTGTTTAAACAAATGTAAAATTGCAGTGTGATAAAAAATTGTCAGTGGTACCATTGTTTCTGAAGTTGGAATAACAAAATTTGGTATGAGAGTTTTATAAAGATGAAAAAAAAGATATATGTAAAGATATTTTAGTTAAATGCTACAGGGTGTTCAAAATATACTTATAAATTTCAACTACTTAAAATTAAAAAATCTTAGATTTTTTAAATGGTACACCTTATATATTTTCATTTTCAAGAACATATCAGCAAAATATTAACAGAGGTGGTACAAATGTAAGAACCTGACAACGCTGTTTCCAATAGGCTTCAGTCCGTCCGCCAAAAAATGTATGGAAGGAAAGGATATGGAACGGAAGGGAAACGGAACGGATAGTGTGGATTGTCTTATTCATTTACATGATATAATATTTTATGTAAACGGAAGGAAAACGGAAGGTAGCTGATATGGAAGGTATAGTGAGAATCAACCTTTAAACAAACATTATAATGAAACTAGTGGTCGCCCAA